CTAAAGACTGAGATAGGAGCAGATTATTATGTATCACTTTACGTTGCACAGCTTAATTTTAGGGACAGTTTCTTATGGGCTAGTCTGAAAGATTTATCAGCCGACTAACACTGCATTACTCTCTCACACAGAGTTTGTTCATGTAAAAAAAGGATATTACACAACAAATACTGAGAGAACTTATATGTCCAGTTTTTAAATCTTTTTCAATTAAATTTCCATTCAACGCGGGGAAAGAGGTAGGCCAAAATAAATGGCATTTAATGTCAAACACAATAAAGACGACGGCAGCTGAGAGTAAGTACTGGAATGGAAATGAGGAATAAAACTTTTGCGAGAGAAACTGCAGCTCAGTAGAGCTAAGCAAATTTGCATTTAATCAATTTGAAAAAAGGTTTTAATGCAAAGTTAGTTGCAGAGACGTGGAGCCCACACACACACACTTACACACACTCCAAGAACTCATCACTCCAAAGACATTTCATCGCGCAATCCATCTTAATCAGCTAGCCCATCAGAGACAATATATCCTCCCCTCCATCTCTCTCTCCTTCTCCGGACGGAGTGATTGAGGGGTGTAAAGAGGAGGATGTTTCTGCCCGCCGTCTCCTCCCCCCAATATCCCCCCCCCCCTCACCAGGACGGCTCTTAAGTGCTTGTGGGTTTTTATGTTTGTAGTGTTTTATAGGAGTGGGCAGGAGCCAGCGGCTGTAAAAGTGTGGAAGGAAGGAGGAGGGAGGAGAAGAGGAGGAGAAGGGGAGGAGTGGAGAGTTACTGTATATCCGATCTTTATTGAGAGCGACACAAACGACCAACAGCAACCGCCCATTCTCCCTGCAACGCCCTCTTCACCTGATCAATCAGTGCTGACTGAGGGAAGGAGGGAAGGAAGTAAGGAAGCAAAGAAGGATGGAAGGAAGGAAGGTGGGCTGTGTTCGAAAAGTATTTTTTGGAAAAGAAAAGTTCCTCTAAGTGGAAGCCATGATAAGAAGATGGTTACATTTCTAAATGCTAAGGGAAGCCGCTCCAATGCTTCCTTTCTTATCTCCGTAAGCAAAGGATACACAGGACCATCCTTTACCAGAAGAAAACAGATAATGTCGTCCAACAATTCCTTGTAGTGGCAACATTGAAACAATTGCTGTTTAATTGTCTTTAAATCGCTGCACTAGGGATGAATTGAAAACATCCTTCTTAGAAGGTGTGATTCTGTATTGGAAAGGATTTCTTGTGGGCTACTTGTCTAGCCTAGTGTACGTGCAGATCCTTTTAGTGGACTTTAAAACGTGCCAGTCACAGTTATAATGAGAAGAACAGTGTGCTATCTTGACCAGATAAGGACTCTCCTGCTGACTCGGTAATCTCTGTAAATTATATTTTGTTCATAGACCTCTCTGTTCCATTGATTCTACTCTGTATAACTGTTCTGTAGTTATTCTAGATCAAAGTTGTGTTTTTGAAATCTCAGAACAGCTCAATAAACCTGTTTCTCAGGCAGAAATCTGGGAACTTCTTTTGTTCAGAACATCCTTTAAAAACTGGAAACATCTGGCCTTCTAAGGGTCTCTTTAACTAAACAGATTGTACGAAATGGCTTGAGTGCCTTTTATAAGGGGATACTGAAGCTGAATCATCTTAAAACCTCTTGTACTGGGATAAGCGGATCATTTGTCTTCAAATAGTGCATTACAATAGACTTGAGGCACAGCTGATTGCGTGAAGTGAGACAGTCTTCAGTTGTGAGATCAACGCCCCCATGCTAAAGTTTACTTAATGCAGGCATTGAAAATCTTTAAAACAATTCAGTGTGCTATCTTGCTTAAGTCGGACACTTGTCTCAAATAGTGCATTACAATAGACTTGAAGGCTCACCACCTCAAGCTCAACGTCCCACTCTTGACCTAACAATCAACATCGGCCCCTCTGTTGTTTCCCCGACTCAGACTGCAAGGAATCTGGGTGTGACCCTAGATAACAAACTGTCCTTCACTGCAAACATTGCTGCTACAACCCGCTGCTGCAGATACACTCTTTACAACATCAGGAGGATACGTCCCCAGCTGACCCAGAAAACAGCGCAGGTTCTGGTCCAGGCTCTCGTCATCTCACGCCTAGACTACTGCAACTCCCTCCTGGCTGGTCTACCTGCATGTGCCATCCGACCTCTGCAGCTCATCCAGAATGCAGCGGCTCGTCTGGTCTTCAACCTTCCTAAATTCTCCAACACCACGCCGCTCCTTCGCTCCCTTCACTGGCTTCCGGTAACTGCTAGAATCCACTTCAAGACAATGGTACTTGCGTACCTTGCTGTGAATGGATCTGGCCCTTCCTACATCCAGGACATGGTTAAACCGTACACCCCAGCACGTGCACTCCGCTCTGCATCAGCCAAACGGCTCGCTGCACCCGCACTGCGAGGGGGACCCAAGTTCCCATCAGCAAAAACACGTGGGTTTGCTATCGTGGCTCCAAAATGGTGGAATGAGTTCCCCATTGAAATCAGGACAGCAGAAAGCTTGCACATCTTCCGGCGCAGACTGAAAACTCATCTCTTTCGACTCCACTTCGAGCGATAGAATTACTATCAAAGCACTTATATACTAATAAAAGACTGGCTTATCTAAAGCTAGTTGAGTAGCACTTGAAATGTTTTGGCTCTATGAAACCTATGTACTTATATGATTCTGTTTTCTTCAAGTTTGTATCTTCTTGGTCGAATGCACTTATTGTAAGTCACTTTGGATAAAAGCGTCAGCTAAATGCAATGTAATGTAATGTAACTGAAATCCTTATAGAATCTCCTTCACATCTTTTCTTGACCACAAGACGGTTTCCATTGAGGTTAAGGAAATGTGATGAAGAAAAGACACAAGACATCCTTATTAAACCATGCAACCGCAGCCAGGGCGAAGCAGCATATTACTTAGTTTCCACCTGTTTATTCCCAGGTCTCCAGTGTTTCTCTGTCTGTCTGTATCTGCATGTATCCACTTCTATATCTGTGTGTTTTTGTGCCTGAAGTCAATTGCTAATCCCCCGTCAGGCCTGGAAGATGCCCTCCCATCCAGTCTACAAGTATAGCGTATAATTGGCCACAGTTGGCTTCAATTGAATCTTTGCTGTGTTATGAGCTAAATTATTCTTCCAGGCCTCTCATAGCAGCCAGAAAGAAATCCACAACACTCCCCTCCGTATGTCAAAAACCACAGGCGCTGATTTGTCTGCTTTTCTAATGCTGATGCTTGGATGTTAGATCTGCAACAGGAGAATAAGCTTGCAAGCAATTGTATTATTGAGCAAAACTAACTGTCTCTTTTCTAATTGTTCTCTTGGCTCTCGATGTCTCTTATCTTGTCTCCTTCTACTTTATTGTCATATCGCTTTAAGTGCGACTGACATCATTGAAGCCTCTTACTCAATCAGTTAGTCATCAAATGAAAAGGTCAGTCGCTTAGTCAACAAAATGACTACAGAGACAGTCAGCTGGCCAGCCAGTCGGACAGAAAAAGGATTATAGGACTCTGCTGCCCAAAACCTCTTTGTGGGTACCCTGTACCTGCCTGTTGCCATGGCAATGCAGTCTGAGATTTAAATACTAGCCCGTGTCCTTTCCCTACGTCTCTTCTATCTTCTTCTCTTCACTCCTCCAGACTCTCCCCTCGCTTTTTGTGAGTCTGTGAGCTGACTCTCTCACTCTGTCTCTCAGTCATGTTTCCTCCGGCATTGTGTCTTTTCAGACTTCCTCCCTCACCTTGCCTCGTCCTCTCTGCTAAATGACACTTTACTAGCTGTTTCCTCTTGTTAATTCCATGCTACTTTGCATCGTGCGACTCTGTAAAAAAGCTCTTGTAAAACCCACAGTGCCACACAAAGTCGCCACACAAGAGACAAATTACAATCACTTACCGTATGTACACACACACGTAATTACTTTAACATTTCCAGGCAGATGCACGAATGCTCGCAAGCACAGACACTAGCTGCAGTAATGCCCTAAATGAGAGTGAAAGATCAACCTATTCACTGAAGGCTGGCACACTGGCACAGTGCACACCTGCTGACAGTCAGCTGCCAGTGAAGATCTATCATTTTCTGCTAAAGCATCATTATCAAGAATCATTTAGGCATGCTGGCCTTCTTCCCTCTCTCCCGACGCACTGGCTGTGCCAAGACACCGATTAGATTTCCCCCACATGTCCCAACAGCCCCGTGGGAAAAGGTCTTCAGTGAATGAACTGGCATTTGGCTCCATCTAATGGTGACCGGAAAAAGAGTCTTATCCTTGTCGTAAGTGCTGGAAACAATAACTTCTGGGAGGAAGTGTATTATGTGAGCAAAGACTACAAGATGTGTAAAGATCATTTGAGTCCTTTAATCAAAATGTATGAGGTAAGACTAACACTTTGTTTTTACTAGAATTGGCATCTGCTTTTTTCTGTTAGGCAGCTTAGTTTTTACAGCTGTTTCTTTTATTATTATAATTACTTGTCCTCGGTTAATGCCAAACAAAAATGTAGTTTTGCTTCATGTTTACTGTGTGAACATTGCCTAAAAAAAAACATCACAGTAGAAAACCTCTTGGTAACCGTAAAGAAGCTGTAGCTGTCCCGCCCACACACTGAGAAAACATTATACCAATAATGAGCACAAACAGCCCTCAATAATTTTTTGCTGAAATGATATACCATACATCCACATTGATGCACAAACAAACATGGGGCTTAGCTTAGTTAAGCACTAAGCAATTCTTTACTCTATCATCCTTTGCATATTCCCCGACTAGTTGGCTTTCTTCTTCATGTAGTTGTTCCTGTGTCTGTTGCTTATTGCCTGCTGATTGCTTTTACTTTTGTTGCAAAAAGAGGAAATGAAAACATGGCTTCTCTTGTTTTTTATTTGTATTCAATTGTGTGGGGGAAAAAATAGATAAATGGAGACATGTTGGATGTCTAATCTCCGAACGGATCACCCTATAAACACACCCCTTTACACACACATACCTGCATTAACAATCGCATCTATCTCCAGCTTGGTGATGTCCCCACTGTAGAGGGAAATCTTCTTGTCCAACTTTTTATTCCTCGGGTAAACTGTTTTTTCAGAACCGCCTAAAGATTTGACACAAACATACAGTACAGTCAGTTTCTGGATTAGTTTTATTTACCTGGCAAACTTGAAATGATACGTCTATAAATATTGATCCGATAGTTGACCAAAACAACTACAATTCTTACAATAGTGATATCTCAAGTGTTAAGCTAAGGAGGATTCTGTGTATTGTTATTATTTCTGACCATTATTTCTTATGGGTCTACAGAGTTAAAAAGAAAATGAAAGGTATACAACATTAATTTAATAATTAATGTCGTAATCCTGAGCAGGAGTTAGATCATAACACCATTCCACTATTCATTAAAGTAAAACATTTTAGAAAATCTTTACTGAATAGAGTCAACTAAAATATTCCAAAACATTTGAGTAAAGCAGGGATTTCAAACTTCACCTACTTCCAAGGTGTGATGATATATTTACATGAAATGTCATCTTATGTCTGTATATTCATCTTTTACATTGTGTGTGCTTCATTTTCTTGACTTGTTACATATGACAATATTACATTTTCTATAAAAGACGTTTCCATCTGTTTATATGTTGCTATTAATCATTTTAAAATGCTTATGGTGTGATGTGGCCAAATATCTGATAATGCCACTATTCATACTGCATCCCTCTGTTAAATTCTCGCTGGCACTACCACCCAACCCTGAATGAACCTGACAGAGACTGTGACTGATGTCGGGTGTCTGACCTGCAGTGGGAGTCCACACTGCGATGTCGTGCAGTGGCACAAAGTCAGATGTCCTGTAGTGCTGACGCCTGTCCGTCACAGACAGAGACAGCAAGTAGTCTGAAGGAGAAAAATAAAGGAAGAGGACAGGAAGAAAATAACCTGTTAGCTAGATATAAAATACCCTTGCTATGTATTTTAAGAAACAGAGTACATGGTACTTCAGGAAGACCAGACTGAAAAAAAGCTTTATGAAGAATAAAACAAAAAAGCTCATGCATACCCCCAATAAACGATTCCTACAGCAAAACCTGAAGCATGTGGTGTACTATGATATTATTTTAACACAATGAAATGTTCTTTAAACAGGCTTTGCGCTAAAGTCAGTTTGTTGAAGTATAGATTTTCATCATTCATTCATCTTTTATTTATTGTGTATAAACAGTATAGGCCTATTGTACGTTAATAGTATCCAAGCTCCACTTTGACAAAACACCAAATATTATGCCTAAATAATTGTACTCTTTTTCGTTGAACATTTTTATTTGACTGCTTGATCGCTTGTTTTAGGCATTTGAGAACTGAAGCTACATCATATTTTACCAAATAACTTATAATTCCGTTTTTTTTAAGGACACAATTAAAGAAATATTTCATTTTTTATCTTGAAATGATATTCAAAATAGGATGATGTTGTTGGTTCTACATATTTTATTCTAGGGTTTATATTGTTTGGTCTGTTTTCATTCTATATTTTCTTTTACAGTGTATGCTTACTTGTGTGTTTTGTACAAATTATTTGGTGTGTTTTTTGTTTGAAATGTTGTTGATTGTTTGTCGTCATTGATGAGTAGGCCTAATGTCATTTTTTATTTGTTAAATTAGGGGAAGATGAATGTGAAAAAGCCATTCAGGACTTCCTCTCCTTTACCCACTGGGGGGGTTTCCATCGTGTGTATTGTGTATATTTTTATAATGCAAATAAACTAAACTAGGTCTATCGATCAGCCAGCGAGAGTTGGAGGTGTGTTTTGGTCATGTGACAGGCAGCACACATGTGTCTCTTTAGTTTGTTCACAAAGCACATTGCACGGTAGCTGTTGTAAATATTACATTAAAATCTCCTCTTTCTTGGTTGAAGAGTCTCACCCTTGGTCTCCTTCCAGTCTCCATCAGCGGAGTTCAGGTTAAGTTTGCGGGCCATGGCGGTGACTGTTCCGGTGTGGAGAGAGTGGACCAGAGCAAATGTGCTTACTCCCAGGGTGGCACCGAGGGCTACCTTCCCCAGCCAGCCTCGGGGTGAGGAGGAAGCCTTTACCTGGCTGGACCTCCAAATTGCTGCGTTTGTCGGTGTGGTGGAAAACTTTTCAGCTCGGAGAGCAGCGTTAATATGGCCGCGAGCAGGACCTGGGGGGCTTCCAGGAGTTACACCGTGTTTAAACCTGACACCGGCTGCCTGGAAGTCAGCACGGACACGGGACAGAGTAGTGCACCGTGAGGCTCTCATATATGAAAATAGAGCTGATATTTGAAGTGCCATGCCTGAGTGACGCCGAGGGGGCTCGGTTCGTGTTACGAAGCTTTACAAGGATCAGTGTCAGACACACCGGGGTTAGGTTTCAGTTTCGGTGTTAGCAGTTGAACGTTGGTTAGGTTCGAGCTCATTGCCATTTTTGTTTTGGACTTCCACATGTGGAATGCACCATTTACAAGGGGTGCTTGTAGGTTTTGGTTAACCGCAAAACTGCTTTGTATCGTGTCATTGAACGAAGTAAGATATCTAGGCCGGTATTTAAGAGTTCATATTATTACCAGCGAAAATGTATGCTACAATGTGACAAGTGCAGCTCTATGTTAATCTCACATGGAATGTAAACCCCCGACTCCGATGAAGTGGGAAGGCGAAAGCCAACGACCACATTTCCACGCCTCCTATCTAGATTAAAGAAGTACACATCAAAATGATATGTTCAATAGATTTGTATTTATCCAAATATAAGTTATTGAACTCTATATCATTTGCGCAACCAGAATTGGTACGCATTTATTTCACCATTATAAACATTCAGAGGTCAAATGGAAGAGTATGTTGTGTACATTGTACAGGCTACGAAAAAGGAAAATAACAACTAAACAACAAACTGTACAGGGACTTGAAAAGAACATTTACCTTTTTTTCATAATAAATGTTTATAATCGAAGTTTACATTTTACAGATTTAGTTGTCATTATTATTATTTAATGTCATTGTTCTCTTTATTTATTTAAATGTATACTCGACTGTGTTTGCAAGAAACATATTTTTTATAAATAATTCACTGCTATTCTTCAAAATCTCAGCCAATACAATAGTTGATAAATAAAGAGAATTTGCACCAAAAAAATCCTCGTAGGCCTATAGCATATTCAAAAAACAACACTGCTTGGGCATTTGCTGGGGAAATATTATTATTTGTATTATTATTATTATTATTATTATTATTATTTATTATTATTATTACTTAGTTGCCTAGGTCGTTATGCCTGCTCTCAGTTTCGCAAACTATTTAATTGCTGTTTTGATGGGCTAAACAATTTCCTGTTTATTCTTTATTTTGCATCTGAAAAGGCATTAAAAAACTGATACTCACGTTAACACTACTCATTGCTTATATGCAACATACACAATCTTTACCAATAATCAATCTATTGTGTTCTTCCATCCCATAAAATGGAGGCTAAAGAGAAATAGCCAAACTAAGGAGAGCAATAATATGTGTTGTCTGTCTTTTTAGCATCTAATATTGAGCACACACAAAAACACACACCTACACACACATTGCCTTTTATGCAGCACTCACTATCTGCCTGTCTGTCAGTCAAAACTTGAGCTCTTTTCACATTTCCGCCTGGCGGAAACTGACAAAAAAAGGAACAAGCCTTTCTTGACAGAACTGACACAAGCAGCGCAGACTCAGCTACACAGACCACAACCTACCCAGCGCAAGAGGGGAACGACACTGCTGAAAATTGTTCTCAGAAAACCTGGGTGGACTTCTTTAGAGGTGTGAAAGAGGCACAAGAGTCCCACCAGTTTCCACATCTTAAAACTTTGGACGGAGGAGACTGACGGTATTTTTCTTTCAATTTGTGTGTGTGATGTGAGAGAAAGGGAGAAAGCATGAGGACAGAGAGGTCTTTAAGGCTTCATGTGTACACGTTATGCTTGTTTATACTTTAAATGTTGCATAATTTATTAGGCAACAAGCTCAACAAAATATAATGTGAAAATATGAAGTGGAAGTGGTCGTGGTTCAGAACTTATATACAAAAACATGCAGATGAAGAAAGTCAAGAGCTTCAAAAGAAGTAAGGAGGGTTGCAGGCATGTCATCTAGTCTTTATGTCATTGTCTGTGATTCCATTCTTTAAAGTTACCTATACATTGAGCAAAGATGAACCGTTTAATCCTTTAATGTAATATATTTAAGATGGGCTTACACTTTCTTACACATGCAGTGGGTCGCTGTATTGGCATTGGATGAACATCTCCTATTGGCGGGTCAGTAAGCGGAAGTGTGTGTCACTGGTGATTGTTCAAGTTAGAAACAGGAAGTGCTCATCAAACTGGACATGTTGCCAGGATCAACGCACCCTTCCAGAGTGTATGTGTGTGTGTGTGTGCGCGTGTGCGTGTATGTGTGTGTGTGTTACTCAGTATCATGTGATACTGAACTATGATGAAAACCTTTTTCGAAGTTGAGAGGCTGTGTGACTGAAAGGTCATCTAGGTCTCATTTATGTCTGAAATACTTTGTAAACTTAAGGCAGGGTTTGGATTATCAGATCAATCAAGTTCTATACAAAAATCGTATTCTTGTGCATTTCTTAGCATATATTGTTGTGTTCTTGTTTTTAAATGTCTTTTTATCAGAAATGTTAACAATTAAATAATGCTTTAAAGTGCATATGTCTTACTCATGATGCACAGGTCCCTAAAACAATTGCTTTGTCGCCTAACATGATGTTGTATATTTTAAAAAGGGTGTTGGCAGTTTCATCAAAGTGTTGGAAAAAAACTCATAATAAAGTAACCCCACCGGTAAATTAAGTTTTTCTCCATTTTCCTTGCCTGTTTTGTCTGAGCTGTTAATGCACTTGTTGGCCAGCTTTTGATAACAAGTGTTTGACTTTTCTGGTTTCTTCTCCTTTGTGTCTATGTGCCAGGCCTTTTTCGCCCGGTATGTCGGCGTGGGACCTGTTAGTCACGGTGGAGGACCTGGGGCCTGACGCGCCACCTGTCACCCTCAGCGTGGCCTCTGACCTCCACGTTGGAGGGGTCATCCTGAAGCTGGTGGAAAAGACACGTAGGTCTCAGTCCCTCTGTCTGTCTTTCATTCAGTCTGTCTCATTGTTTGTCTGTCTTTTTGTCTGTCCCAAGTTCAATGCAATAACACCTTGAAAAGATATAATGCTGCATGCATTACAAAAAATCATGCAACAGTTAAGTAACCTAGCAATAAACTTCTTCAGCATTTGCCCTAAAAGAGCAAACATGTCAAACTAAATTCCAATCTTGAAACCGAATGAACCTGATCATTCTTACTTTATGGCATCACATGCTGGTGTATTCTATCTAACAGTCTCTGTATATGGTGATTAATACTGTTAATGTAAACTTTAAACATTTCAATACTAAAAAACAAGCCTAAACAAGCCTACTAATGTTTGAAAGTATTTCTTTAACTGACATTTAAATTGGGAGTCAGTCCTTTTTGTTGATTTACAATAAATTGTTTGATATTTTCGAGATCTCTAAGTGTGATATTCGTCAAATTTACATATTTTCGCATAGTCTACACCTACACGGACATTAAACAAAGGCGCAACAGAAAGACTGACCCTGACGTGATTTGAACACGCAACCTTCTGATCTGGAGTCAGACGCGCTACCGTTGCGCCACAGAGTCTGATGCCCATGAGCGAGTGGTTTGTTTATTAAAACCACACAGACTGCGCGGAAGGACACAAGCGAAAACTATCAGACATTACATTTACATAATTTCTACGCTAAACTACTGTTTAATAACGGTAGGACTAACATATTGTTTTAAATATTTATCACTGTTGATAAATGATCCAAGTTATATACTTTATGATCTGTTAAAGTTATATTTGACTCAGTAAAAGTAAAATTTCCTTAATTAATCTCTAATTGATCTAATTAATTTATGAGGGTGAAATCTATGTTGTAAATTACCAAAGTGCTTTCAAGCCATTCAGACCGTAATACAATTCCTAAACTAGGTTTTGTTCATTATTCATAATGTCTCTTTAAAGTTTTAAAATTAATAATATTAACATTCCAATACCTGACAAGAAATTCCCAACCTTATCCAAAGCCAGAGTCAGGCCTACATTTACTGTAGGATTTCTTTTTTTTGTTGTCATTATTAACTTGTAAAGCTTCTTTGAGCACCAGGAAAAAGGGCTTCATAAATACTATGTATTATTATTATTATTATTATTATTATTATTATTGTTATTATTATTACATTCAAAATTGACATTAGCAAGATAGACTTTTTTTTCAGAAGAAATCTGAAGTCTGCAAGCGAGCATCTCATCACAGAATCTCATGAGAAATGGGGATAAACAGGAGACTTTGTTCTCCTGGTTTAAGAGGAGTGTTTGTCGGTTGAATGGCCAGTAGAATAATTAATGAAAGGGTCTATCAGTAGTTTGGGTACCACTTCGTAGTTATTAATGGGAAAACCTGTCCAAACTTTGATCGAGAGAATTACGAAACAAACAAAGATTACTGCCTCACTTCATGCAAAATAGCTTAAACTATAGATGTTCTATGCGTTTCAGTTTGCAGCAACATGTGTTTTGTGTCTGTCCTCTGCAGAGATAAAGCGTGATTGGTCAGACCATGCACTGTGGTGGGAACAGAAGCAGCGGTGGCTGCTGCGAACGGCCTGGACTCTGGAGAAATATGGCATTCACGCTGACGCCCGGCTTGTCTTCATGCCCCAACACAAGCCCCTGAGGCTGGGCCTTCCAAACGGCAACACCCTGAGGCTCCGCGCCTGCTTCTCCAGTTCCGTCTTCCAGACAGTGATGGGTGTCTGTAGGATGCTCAGTGAGTTTCTGCCTTTTTATTTTTTCCTAGTTTCACTTATATTATTCAATTCTTTATTTATTAACTAACTTATTTGAATCATTACTTCTGAACTGACGTGATTGGACGAGGGATGTTAAAAGTGCGAACCGTTTTACTCTTATGGCGCGTTTCCACTGCAGCGCGGAGCCCCGTTTAAGAGAGCTGTGACGTCAGCGGCCCGTTTTCGGTTGCGTTTCCACTTGGCCTAGTACCTGCTAGCGGGTCCTAATTCACAGTTTTTCTGGCCCCATAACATCGTGGTTCTAGGGCCAGGAACAACCAGGCTGAGTCGGGCTGAGTATGTTAAACTAGAGAGAGAATCGCTGGCAAGGGGGCTACAACTACAACAAAATGAACATATTTGACCGTGATTTAATTGTAATACACGTTTCAAAATGATGCTGAAGTAACAACATACTGATTCCGGTTAGTAAAAACCATGAATTAATGCTTTCACAAGTCTGCAGACAGACGGCAGGCAAAAAACCTTTTAAAATGCGTGTCTAATGGAGATCGGCTAAGCCTGGGGTCGGCATGCGGCCCTTTAAGCCCTCTGCTCTGGCTCCCTTGAGCTTAGACAAAAATAAGAAGGAAATCAAATAAAAGTACTTGTAGGACTATTTATATTTTGTTGCATGGTTGAAAATGTTTCGTATCTTGTATTTTGAGGTGATACTGTGACACATAAATAAAAAACAAAACGGTTTTAATTAGGTCAACTAAAATATGCGTCACATCCTGCTACGGTCCCGCGCGAGCGCCTTTTATTGGAGGCACTCGCGCGGGGACCCCCGGCTCGATGAGCGAACTATGGATAAATCAAAGAAAAGTACCGGAGGAACACAGGATTTAATTCTGTGTGGACAGAGTTATATGCTTTCACAGCAAACGATGCTGTGAGCTCTGAGGGCTAACAGCTAACGGCTGTGTTGTTTTTCTGGGGTTCTCATTGAAGATGACGTCACGGCTCCGCCTACACTGTGATACTACAGGGTG